CCAGGGCGAGTAGTCCTGCGTTCGGGATTCATTATCGGTCTGACAAAAAGCCCAGTGGCAAAGTGGGCAGAATTAGTCGGAGTGTTGCGGGGGAGTAAAAGCGGACTCAGGTGTTGCGGTTACAATAGTTCTAGCAAAAGTCGTTGAAAGCTTTGATCTTTAAAAGCTCGGGGCGGAAAAGCTTGTTCAAGGTGGTTTGTTGGGACTGCGTGCAAGATGGTGACTAACTTCAAGCCCTACTTGGTCTTGCGTTTTTCTATGGGCAGTGACTTAGGTGGCAGTGACTGAAGTACCATTTTGGGGAACTTGGTGTGGCCTAAACAGATACAGCTCCACATGGATGCTCACTCGTGTGGGTTATTATGTCAGCAATAAACTACAAACCCGTGATCGGATACCTAGCCCGACTCGCTAAGCTCAGTCGCACGCCACGAGTTTTGTGGACCCGATCGAATCAACCCCACAAAGCTTACTGCTTCAAAAACTCTCCCTCACTATATGTAGCAACCTCTCCACCAATCAACAGATAGAGCTCTATGGGACGCTAGATGATAAAAAATCATCATACTCTCAAGCGATTAAACCCCCATCTGTGCCCGCCACAGTGGCTCTACAAAGTATTCCCTTGCGGGTTTCGGCACCACTACAATGCAATGGCCTAGGTGGAATCCTGCTAGACGAAGTACTCCACAAAAGTAGCACCTAAGCTTGGGAGAAATTGAGTGGAGCATGGTGTGGTCTAACTAGAAGCATGGTAGGAATTTGAATGCTTAATGGCTCGCGTGTATGTAAATCGATATTACATACTTGCGATCGATAATAATTCTCCGAACGGTACCCGTGGACCTGGTTGTTCGGTAGTTATATATATATTCAGTGCTGAAGAGACTGAATTGTAGTAAAATCCGTCGAGGCTCTTGAGGCTTAATCCCGCAACCGCTATTAGCATATGCTCTCCGTCCTCCGGTAAGTGTTTTACAGCCATGCATGGGAATGCATGGATCAAAATAGTTCTATAGACTGAACGAGGCTGTGCATGCTGCTCTCTGCTCTACCTAAATGCCTGCTCCTTCCGGTCGATGATTCTTCGAGCAAAGACAAGAGATAACTCACTGCGTGACTGGTAAGCAGCGTTACCAACGTGCCATCCTAGTGCCTACATAGTCGTTTATTTGTTAGAGTCATACAGGCGCTAAAATAACAATTAATTTTCTAAGACTTCCGGAAGCTGTCGGCACCTGGCGTCTACAGACCATATTCCTACAGTGGTTAACTTTGCTCATCTGTACTAAACGAGAGGCTACCGGCGGATTGAATATAGTTAAATAATATTGTTAGACATAAGATGACCAGGAATTCTGAAGTAATAATTAACTCCTGTCCGAGACCATGAAACATGGTAATGCGTGCATATTCCCTCCAATGATACATGGCCATTGCACTTCAGGGGAACCTGGCAGTGTTAAACCACAGGCCCTTAGATCTTTCCATGGCAAATTCATACCAGACCAGCGGGGTAATTTACGGAATAGAGTAGCGCCCCAATGCTTGAAACGAACGGTTGTGCGCCCATTGGATGTAAGAACTAAAAATGTATTAGCGCCGTTCTGAAGAAACCGGGGGTGGCATTGGTTCACCTGGTAAATATAATAGCAACATCATCCGCCTTCCCACGCCGGGCTATTTTGAAGATTCAAATAACCACGTTCATTTTTCAGTACCATATTTTCAACAACAATACATTCGTTTTCGACAAAACCAACATTGAGAATGAGATCGGCTTTAGAGCTCGCCCTGCTGCTTGCAGCAAGTGCCAGTGTCTCCGCTGCTAGTGGAAGCCGGGGATGCTACACTCTCGATGATTCTGCCGCTCTGGGAGAATTCGAAAAAAGCGCGTTTCAATCTCTCGGCGGGTGTACCGCACATTGTGCCTCTTCAGACAGTAATGTCATCACGATGCAAGAGCAGAAGTGCTGGTGCATCGATGCTGCCGACAAGGGCACCAAGGTCGATGATGACAAGTGTAATTTCGAATGCCCTGGATTTCCGATGGATATGTGTGCGTTGATCTTTCTCCGTCGCCTAAGAGCTGGTATACTGACGGGATATGAATTGAAGGCGGAAGCGACTCAAAGAGTGTCTACTATTCGACTTATGAAATTGAAAATTCTCCGAACTCTGGAGCAGATATCAGCTCATCGAAGGCCACAGCTTCGGCGACAAAGACGTCCAGTTCCATGGTGCCGGTCTCAACGAGCGTAGTTCCGGAATCGCAATCGGACACTAAGAAGACTGCAAAGGATATTGCAAACAGCATTATCGTGAAATACCAGAAGCAGACTGATCTTATCCCGGGTCTTTTGGGATCGAATTATAGCTTCGCCGTTAATGGCATGATGTGGAACACCTTTGTAGATTATTGGGCTCTTACCGGCGATGAGAGCTTTGTGAGCTTAACAAAAGAAGCGTGAGTAGCACTGAACTTAATCTAGCTCGCAATGGTACTAACATTCGCAGCCTGCTCTTTCAGCAAGGTCCCGATCAGAATTTCATGCCTCCGAATCAGACCTTGAGTATTGGCAACGACGACCAAGCGACATGGGCCCTCGCGGCAATGTCTGCCGTTGAAAACAAGTTCCCCCAAAACGCTGATGCAAAATGGCTCGACTTGGCCATCAACACCGCCAACTCGGTGCATAGCCGATGGGACACGAAGACATGCAAGGGTGGTTTGCGCTGGCAAGTCTTTTCCAGCAACGAAGGTTACAGCTATAAGGATGCCTCTTCCAACACCAAGTTCTTCCAGCTCTCCGCGCGTCTCTTCGCCCATACTGGCAACGAGACTTACGCGACCTGGGCTAACCAGACTCACAACTGGCTGCAGTCCTCCGGAGTGATTTCGGATAGCTGGAAGGTCTATGATGGTATTCAAGTTGAAAACTGCGAGATCGGTAGCAAAATCCAGTGGACTGCCCCTATCGGCTCCCTGATGAGCGGGTACGCCTATCTGTATAACGCCACCGGCGACGCAACCTGGAAGGATTCTCTCACCTCTCTCTGGAACGCCACTTCGTCCTCGCCGTTCTTCGTGAACAACATCATGACGGAAGCGCCCTGCGTCATCAAGGGCAAAACGAGCACGTGCAACATCGACCAGCTGACTTTCAAAGGCATTTTGGCGGCAGGCATGGGCGCCGCCGCTCGTCTTGTACCGTCTTTGAGCGATAGCATCGATAAGAAGCTGCAGGCCTCAGCTGCCGGCGCAGTCAAGGCAGACGGGTCCCAGTTCTGGGCCCAGGAAGTTACAGATCCCAAGGCGCCTGGAGTCAGTGAGCAGCTTAGTGAGCTCAGTGTAGTAATTAGCACCCTGTCTAGTACAGTGAATAACTCCACTGCAAATGCCACTGATGGGGACTCGGCGACAGCGTCTGGAACTGCCGATGTGAAGAAGGGTGCAGCCAGCAGAGTGGGCACCTCTGGAATGGCGACGATGGCATTGGTGGCGGGTGTTATGTGGGCGGTTTTGTAAATGTTGTAATCGTTTATATTGATATTTAGGCAGTAAGGAGATAGATTATTTATATATTGCTTTGAGTTTGGTTTCTGCATCGGAAATTTTCGTTAAGTGATTTGTATGACTTCCTGTATTATGCTTGAAAAGAGGATCTTTCCATCAAGTCATCTCAACTCATTTCTATTCCTCAGCTCCACGTCGACATATCCATGTCCAACCTGGAAGCCAATGAAAAGAAACGTCATCTCATGAAGTATGTGCCAAAAATTCCCTACGCCGTCAAAACAGCGCAGGAGGGAGGGTCATTTGGTAGTAGTTTTCAACCAGCAAAAACAAGGACTCAGGAAAAACCTTCACTGTCGCTCGTCATACCACTGCACTCGGATGGGAAGAAGAAAGAAGAGGAGTTGTAGAGGGCAAAGCTCCGTATTTAAGTGGGAGGAGCAGAACGATGCCAAGAGGTGATTTGGCCGACGGTTAGGGCTGGGCTACTGGGCGATTGGCGAGCCTAGATTTTGGAGCGGGTTTACGAAATATGTGGTTTATGTGGTGTCGAGCCTAGCTGATATTATAATTCTAAACTTTTATTGTGGCCTTAGACTTTCTATTCGAATATTCTCACAATCAATCACTCGGCATATTGCAAATTAGACAACCGCCAACGTAAATGATCATTACCATCGACCGAGGTTTTATTCGCAAGACCGGTTAAAGCATTCAACGGCCTCTCGTTCAGCCAAGATACTCCCTAATCTACGAAATACTTGCTAGTGCCTCCAACACGACCTATATTGAAGTCGAGTGAGCGAATGTGTATTCGTGTGTGCAGCACGGGCTAAGCCAACATCCAATGGTAGGATGGCCGAGTTGGTTATGGCGCCAGGTTAAGGCTTCAGCTTTAGCATAATCTCCTGGTTCGGGAAACTGAGCGTGGGTTCAAATCCCACTTCTATCACTATTCTTTTGCATTTTTATTGCTTGCCAATCTGTGGTTGATGAGTGTCTATTCCCAAGTAAAGAGTTGTTGCTTTGATCAACGACCAGTTCGCTTTATGATTTGTAATTACTGTTTCTTGAGTCTGAGCTCTATCTCCACATCATGTGGACTATCTCTCTGTATTCATAGTAGTCCTCAGTTACCCCAAGGAATTGTCTCTCATCTACAACTCTTTCTAGGGACTGAATCATCTAGTTTACATTCAAGTTACTGAGGATGAAAAGGTGCCATGAGGTTACAAGGATCGATCCAATCTTCGATCAGCCTAGAGAACGCCTTATTCTTTGTAACGTTTTGAGTGAGTTAAAAGATTCCTAATGGCATGTTTGTGCATGCTTTTTATCTCACTACTAGGTGATGCGTCGGCTGTTGGTTGGATCTTTTTGGGCTTGGCTACCGGCCTGCGCATATGCTCCACTTGAACTTCACGAACACTGTACACGACACGCATCCCGTTATCCCCATCCGTCAAAAATGCAAAAAGAATAGTGATAGAAGTGGGATTTGAACCCACGCTCAGTTTCCCGAACCAGGAGATTATGCTAAAGCTGAAGCCTTAACCTGGCGCCATAACCAACTCGGCCATCCTACCATGATATACCAGTGAAAGTATCACGTGCAGTTTTATTCTTTGGTGTGATTTCTAGGCTTGGAATTTCACTTTTTTCGTTTCAGGGAAAGACAATGTGAAATACATGAAGCGATAAAAATATGTTGAATATTTGAACTAGCTACGGTTTACATGCACACAATCTAGATTTCCTTCCATTTATCCTTAGACTTCTAAATGCTACCGACTAAAAGTCTTCCTTCAGTTCAACTAAAATCTAAGGGCAAACGACGGGAGGAACAAAGTTCCAACCGGGCTCAACAATGTAGCAACCCTCTGGAATATCGATGCAAGAATCTCCACCGCCTGGAGAGAGCCCCTGACAGAACCTAGATGGTCCCCATTTCTGACTATATGTATGTTAATATAACTCTAGATTTCGGTGTTGAAAGAGTGAACTTACTCGCCAGCTGCAGGAGCAGGAGCAGGAGCGGCGGCGACCAGCGCGGCGGCGGCTGAGATGAGGAGTGCAGTGAAGAATTGCATGTTTCTTGTTTAAAATGAATTTATGAGCGTGTAAATGTTTTTTGAAGTGAATGTATTGTATTTGTGCAGTTGTCTGGTTTGTCAATGTGAGACTTTGCGAATGGTCTTATATATCATTGACGAGTGAGATCTGTGAGTGGCAAGCGCTCTAATAGTAATCGCATTCACAATTGCGCATGCCATCTTATGCAGTTTCAGAACGGTTTACATGTTTACTTATTGATCAGTCCAATCGCGTTGATTCATGTGGCGGACGTATTTCTCCAAGGCATTGATGCGTGCGGTAAAGTACGGGGAGCTGATTACTGATTGAATATTGTCAAGCGCGAAAGGTAACGATCTTCGACCATCCACCTAGCAACCTGTAATCAAGAAGACGCTGTAACTTTGGCCATAGAAATTGACGCTTCGTAGCCATCTGAAACAGTTTTCCTGACCGGGAATAAGTTTTCTAACAATATCGAGCATAGCCCTTTTTTGACTTTGAGTAGTTGCGTTCTTAGCTAGCTGATTACTCAAGTATCTTTGTGACGTTCTGCAGAAAATCATTCTGGATCGATATGTTATGCCATTTTTCAAAGTTTGAAATTTCTCTAAAGAAGTCTCGACCGACAGGAATGACGTGTATCGTGCATGGGATATAGCTGTACCGTGAAACTCTGGCTTATTGAAGATAGAGAAAGCCGTGCAAGAAGGAATTAGTCGCACATAACAGACAACTAAAAAGTATGGACCTACGTTCTTACTTCAGGGTATTTGACTGTATACATATTTCTTTTTAGTGACCCAAAAGTCCCGAAAGTCCCGAGAAGCGAGGCGTATTATGGTTCTGGACAGTGTTGAATAGTTTACTCAGAGTAAGCTATGCGAAAATGCAACCAACGAAGAGAGAAGTTTGTGTTGGGCGTGACATTAAAGATGGCCTAAGGGGGAACTATTGGGCAAGGATCAAGTTCCAAAGCTGCTTTCCATCCTTTTAGGGGATGTTGAGCGAAAACATAGAATCCGCATTCTGCTGGCTTCCATCTCAAGGACGCTTGCATGTTTTGCAAAGAGCCTCCATGCTCATGAACTAACCTCATCACAGAATTCTCCCCCAAGGCTATGTTGAGAACCACTCCTGTATAGACCACTGCCTATAATGCCGACTCTTCTTTACAAAAGCTGGTTCGATCGCGACCTTAGAACACATCATCTTCCTCATGTTACGGATGTGCGTCCCAAGGCCCGCCATCAGCTCATATGGACCCGGCGGATGTCCTGTCGTCACAATGCATATTGTCTGACTGACAACCCGTTCTTCACACTGATAACCATGGGGCGTTCCAACCAGTTCAACCCCACACTATTTGCTTATCGATCGACCAACCTTTTGTCCGAGAAGGGCACCATTTTAGGGAAGTTCTCGGCGCAACACATACAACGATAGAAGCCTCGGAACTAAGAGCTTTTATAATAAAATCTGTTCGAACCTTCACGGCGGCTCACTCGTACTCCCCGATCTCTAGATCATTCTCTCGATGAAACACCAAACCGCCGATCTAGCCAACAGCATGGATATATCCTCAGATTACGAAATTAGAGCTTAGAATTGAGAGGTCTACTGGTGATCATCACTTTGACGACTTTGCTTGCGGCACAGAAATTCCTAGACAGATGTTTGGGATCTAGGTCCCTTTGCCATGTCCAATACCAAGCACAAACCGTGTCTTTGGAAAGATTCAGACCTAGGGCATATCCCGCCATATATGTCTCTTCTTATGCCAAATAATGATGGTAATCTCACTCGTGGATACCCTGTTTTATTGAAAAGGCTCTTCGCTGGAGTTCTGATTTATATCCGAAAATCTAAAGATCGATAAAAATACTCCCTGAATTGCAGAATGAACTGCTATGCTCAAAAATACTGGAAAGGAAGTCTGAGCCTCGAGGAAGCTACATTGACTCACAAGGATCTCCCATCACGCCACGCTATATCTACCCATTGGTATATTTCCTTGCACAATTGTGCATGAGGGACTCTAGGTAATATCTCAGTGGTCTGGTCTTCAGCTCACATTGTTCTCCCGCGGATATCGGGATTCAAGCACAGTTTCTGCAATTATGGAAAATCACCAGGACAAGAACATCCGCATGCACAGTTTTCTAGCCTTCCATGTGTTACACAATGTTATTTTGTGAAAATATTCGTTGATATTTTCTCATTGAGTCGGTTTATCTACATCAGTAGTGTGTACTGTTTTCATCGCCGGATCATATTGTTCACATCCGTAGACGCTTATTCTCGGCATTCGTGGAAATTCGGAGCTATTTGGAGACTGTTATTTATCATAGACCTAGAGCATAGAGGCAGTTCGGCTCGATTATTGAAAGCTTCCGGTGCCAGAGTACATGTTTTTTTTTCTGTAGATTACTTCTGCAGCACAACACATCTCGATATTTCTGAGATGAGACTACCCACAAGACAACAGTTAAGAGGTGGCAATTAGGTTCTACATCAACTCACCGAATCACAAAGGAACTACTGTTGCGAAAAACAAGAAACTAGAAGTATTAGAAAACAAGCATTGGAGATCTTATATAATTTTCGATCACAAACATTGGCCGATGGTCACCAACAACCAAAATACAGCTGTCGATCGCGAGATACTTCAAAGTTAAGCTTTCATGCGTATGTGCTGCCTGTATGTTGATTGATAAAAGTTTCCATTATGATTGTGGCTTGCAGTGTGCATCGGAGTCGGATTCAAAAGACTTCAGCCATAAATAACTTCAGGAAACAATCGGAGGACATTCCCAATCAAGCTAGGAGTTTTGGAGTTTATTGAGGTGGAACCGGGATCATCAGTGCTGGCGGAGGATAATAATTCTCCTTCCTTCCTTCACAGGTAACCAAAACGTTCAAATAGAGTGGTTGCACAACCGATGCTACCCTTCCCAGGCTTTATGGGCGGAGATTTCCACAACCGCTCCTTTCCCGTCTTGTGGTAGATACTGTACTCTGGTTTTACGAAAATACCTCTTTAATACAATTCGAAACTCATACTTTAATGCGAGAGAACATTGGATGGTGTCTGCATAAGAACACGTGTACGGCCAGGAGAAGGCGGACCGGATTATCTTGATATATATTGGGTATAGTTGAAACAAATTATATACTATATGCATAACTACAATAATATCTCTTGATTCAGTTATGGAGCCCAGCCTGTTCGAACGAGTTTATAAGCTCAAGAACTCAGGGTTTAATCGAAGATGCGGGGTTTTGTCTGCAAGAGAATTTAAGCATTGATCCGCGAGATTCCTAGCTGTCGGGGACTTTAATTTCCGTTTAACTGGAAACATGAGCCGGGTCGGTGTACGGTGGTTCTACAGGATCGTTTTCCACAGCGGCGCAACGTGTATTCGTCTCCGGAAAATACCATACCAATAACGGGGATTAGCCGGGAGATCATGCCATCTGTACCTGATCCGGCTGGTGGATATTTAACTGCAGGAACAGTTCGCTCAGCTGTCAAGCTAGCACAACAGATGACAGACAACCTAAAATTAAACCCCTGTCTCTGATCACATATGAGCATGATGGGTCGCCCCACGGGCCGATATGCTGAGTAGCTCATGATAGCAGAAAAGTGACTGTATACACAAAGGCCAGACTGCAGGAGTTTGGGAGTTAATCTTGTTTAATCCCCAATCATCAAGACTTCCAAATCTACAATACATTTATATGGATTTGTATCGCCAAGAGCCGGCCGGAATCGAAATTTCAAATTATCGATATCTCGAGTGCACAAAGTTGGAATCTAGAGTGGTTTCGGATCATTTTCCGATAACCCATACCTCTGTACTTTGACCATCCCCGGCACAGATGCATTGTGTGGATTTTGGAGGTTTGTGTGCATGTCTTTTGCGCGTTGGTCCTGGGTATGGATGAGAACCCTCCTGGTTACGGCTCTTCATAGACATCAGGGATTAGAATTATCTAGATTAAAATTTCGCTTGTGATGCTTGGCTCCAGATTTCCATCACCATTACAACTGGTTTGGAAGGAGTTACTGCGTCATCTGGGCCCTAAAATCCCGTTAGTCTCGACTTTCAGGTGAAAGGTGTATGAAATTTCATCAGTGTCTGTCTCGATTCAGGATGCGTCTCGGAAGAAGCTTGCTTGGGCCCTGCATATCTTGTTGGAGATAACGGAATGATTGCTCTGGATTGAAAAGCTTGCAACCTAGTGTATTTACTGGTACAAAGCAAAAATATATATAGGTGAACATTTGGCCTAGCTCTTTGCTGCCTTGTTCTTCGGTCCTTGCCATTGTCATAAAACGGATATCTTCACACAAGATCCTCTAATCTTCTAACTATCAATCATCCCTCACCTTGTCAACTTATCACATCCCGCAACTCAACATGAAAACCTTCCAGATTGCCGCAGCTTTTGCCCTGACCCTCCTCGTAGGAGTTCAGTCTGCTCCCTCCCCAGAAATTGGAGGTAT